TATTCACTCGTCTGGCGCCACAACGTCACAACGTCCCAGAGCACCTTTCCGGTGCCGTCTTACCTGACAACCTCCTCCACGACGAATACGCAGCCATGTTTGAGCTTCCTGACGCAAAGAGGTGAGGCGCAACCATCACCTCTCCTGTGACCCCCTTCCCCCCCTGCGCCTGCAGCAGCGCTGATCAGAACTTGGCACGAAACAGAGTCCGGCGAGAAGACCTCGGGGAGTCGTCCGACGATGAAGGAGCGGACCACGACGAGCAGCAGAATGCGGACCTCCTGGCGAAGCTGCATGCCCGTATGGCGGGCATGCTCGACCTAGGCGACGACGCCGACGCCGACCAGACTTCGACAGAAACGATTGAGCAACCAGCAGCAGCGACGACGGACGGAGAAACGGGCAAAGATGGCGGCGGCGGAGACGATGAGCCCGAGGAGTTTGAGTTCCGGCTCTTCACCACGTCGAACCCGGCGACAAAGATTGCGCTGATCGACGAGGACGAGCGCGCGATGGCGGGCGACGGAGCCATGATTCGCAAGAGGCCGCTGTCGTACTACATCGCCGGGGAGCCGACGCCCGAAGTGAAGGCGGAGCTCGCTTTCGCGGCGGTGTCGGGCGAGGAGGTTCTTGAGAGGGCGCAGAGGCGGTGGTGGGGGATGGAGCAGCCTTGGCGGGTGAAGACGATTCCCGGTACCAGGGTGTCGTCAAAGGGAACAGCAGAAACAGCAGCAGCAGCAGCAGGAGGAGATGCTGGGAAGACAAAGGAAGAGGCGGACGCGGCGGCGGCGAGGAGGAGGCGGCCTGGGAAGAAGAAGCGTCTTGCGATACGGGTTAAGCAGCGGGAGAGGGTGAAGAAGGCCGAGGAGCTGGAGAAGTTCAAGGCCGGTAAGGAGGAGGCGCTGAAGGAGAAGAAGAAGAGGCTGAATCGGTTGAAGAAGCTAAGGAAGAGGGCCAAGGCGAAGGAGGGGAAGAATGGGGGCGGCGAGGGTGGTGGTGATGGTGGTGAGTCGGGATCTGGATCTGACGGTGATGAGTGAGGTATCTACATGACTATCTGCGATATTGAACTATTAGCCAGATCGACATGAAAGTGCTCTGGTAGGTGTTTCCCCATTGCAGAGGGAATTGACAGAGTCTATCTGAGAGATCACGCGAGAAATGTATTCCACATGTGATATCTGTGGACGTTCTCTTCCTTTCATGTCTACAAAATATCCATCACGGTTGGATCTTGAGGCGGAAGAGCTCTTTGCATCATGGCATGTAGCAGAAGTGCAATGCTTCAGAGCGCTAAAACTCCAATATGTGACCTACGAGGTTCACTAGCAAAAGCAAATTGTGGATGCCCATGGCGACACCATCGACTGTCAACAAGCGCCAACTTAAGAAAACAATTATCTCAATTGAGGCTCTTTGGTTCCCCAACACCTTCCGGCGAAATTCTCCAAAGGTCTATCAAGCCCACCATCTGCATGACGTGCAAGACTTACTGTGTGCCCCAGCCAGTCAAGACTCGCGCATTACCGGAGCAGCACTCAAGGGAGGCGACGCGACGTGAATGGCTCGCGAGGTGGGGCCGGGGAGAGCACTGACATACCGGCCCGCCAATGGATGCAGGAGCTCCAGCAGAGAGCTCCCCGTCTTTCCTGGTCGAAAAGGAATGTCCCGGCAGCAAAAAAATTTCGAGGACGCCGACTCCCATCAGACGATACCTCATCAACCTCCTTCCCCCCCTACCTCACCATCACAAAAGCCGTTGTCGACAACGAGCAATTCCATCGTCCATCTCCTCTCTGTTCCTTCTTCTCTCTTTCTACTGTACTATTTAATACCCACAGACTGCCAAAATGTCCGCCTCTCTGAGATCCGTTGCGCCGTTCTTCCGGACGGCGCGCGCCTCGCTGCGCCAGGGCAACGTTAGCCCCCTTCAGGCCGCTCTGAAGAGACAGAACGTCTCCCCCATCCTCAACGTCTACCGCACATACGCCGTCTACGAGCGGACAAAGCCTCACGTCAACATTGGTATGGGCATCTGGACGATCAATGCGTGGGAAATGTAGCTAATCTGGGGGAACCTCTACAGGTACTATTGGCCACGTCGATCACGGAAAGGTACATATCAAGCAAGACCCGAGAGGGTTGTGCCAATGCGCGACGAATACTGACCAAACCCCCAATAGACCACTCTGTCCGCCGCCATCACCAAGAGACAGGCCGAGAAGGGCCTCGCCAACTTCCTCGAGTATGGCGCCATTGACAAGGCTCCTGAGGAGCGCAAGCGTGGTATCACCATCTCTACTGCCCACATCGAGTACTCGACCGACAACCGCCACTACTCCCACGTCGACTGCCCTGGTCACGCCGATTACATCAAGAACATGATTACTGGTGCCGCCAACATGGACGGTGCCATCATCGTCGTTGCCGCCTCCGACGGTCAGATGCCCCAGACCCGTGAGCACTTGCTGCTTGCCCGCCAGGTCGGTGTCCAGAAGATTGTCGTCTTCGTCAACAAGGTCGACGCCATCGACGACCCCGAGATGTTGGAGCTCGTCGAGATGGAGATGCGTGAGCTGCTCAGCACCTACGGCTTCGAGGGTGACGAGACCCCCGTCATCATGGGTTCCGCCCTCATGGCCATGCAGAACCAGAGACCCGAGATTGGTCAGGAGAAGATTGACGAGCTGCTCAAGGCCGTCGACGAGTGGATCCCTACCCCTACCCGTGACCTCGAGAAGCCCTTCCTCATGTCCGTTGAGGATGTCTTCTCCATCTCTGGCCGTGGTACCGTCGTTTCCGGCCGTGTCGAGCGTGGTCTCCTGAAGAAGGATACCGAAGTCGAGATTGTCGGCAAGGGTGACCAGATCATCAAGTCCAAGGTCACCGATATCGAGACCTTCAAGAAGTCTTGCGAAGAGTCCCGTGCAGGTGACAACTCCGGTCTTCTCCTCCGTGGTATCAAGCGCGAGGATATCAGCCGTGGTATGGTCGTCTGCAAGCCTGGCACCGTCAAGGCCCACTCCAGCTTCCTCGTCTCCCTCTACGTCCTGTCCAAGGATGAGGGTGGCCGCCACACCGGTTTCCACGAGAACTACAAGCCCCAGATGTACCTCCGTACTGCCGACGAGTCCGTCACCCTCACCTTCCCCGAGGGAACCGAGGACGCCAAGAACAAGATGGTCATGCCCGGTGACAATGTCGAGATGGTTGCTCAGCTGCACCACCCCTCTGCTGTCGAGGTTGGCCAGCGCTTCAACGTCCGTGAGGGTGGACGCACCGTCGCCACTGGTCTCATCACCCGTATCCTGAAATAAGGGATACTCGCCGAAAAATATCTCAAAACTGGGTGAAACGGCACCCAGAAACACAACTTCCCCGACATGAAATGGGAACCCGGATGGTGAAAAAATTGGGATTGTACAAAAAAGGAGTTGGATTGCTTCACGATTTCATGTACAACCGACCCAGAGTTTTCCGCTTTGAGCCCTCGAGCTCGTGTATATTGTCGGGTCTTGGGCTCAAAGATCTCCGCTCTACTTCACCCCCTTGTCTTTGAATCATGTACTTTTAGAAGACGATGGACAATAGAACAATCTGTGCTTTGTGCCACATGACAACATTATTACTCCTAGCTCATGTCAACGCGTATATGCTCGCTTGATATGTCATCGTGTTACTTGATAAACCTCGAGTCATCAATTACATCCCCAGAACTTGGAGGACCAGACTAGCTAGCTGCTTGGTACCCAGGCGTCGTGCGGTTTCACAAGCTACAGGTGAGTCGTGCCGTCTTCACGCGCAGCTCAGCTCAGTCTTTCTTTGCTTGATATTGAGGGCCCCAAAATTTTGGATGGTGGTAAAAGGTTCAATGTCGTGGTATTCGTCTATCCTCAGTTGGACGTCCGACGGATTTTTGCACTTTCCGTTAAGCCAGCCATAAGAACTCCAATTGCCCTTGGAAGCCTTCCCTCTTGTCTGAATGCATTTTTCCACGGGCCACTCATGCCCAACCACCTTCACCAAGTTCCCATCCTTTGCCGTCTCGGAGTTTTGGACAATTTAACGGTACTGTAGAATGACAGATTCGGGTTAGCGGTTTGCGCTTTCTGAAAGTCATGGCCGAACGAGGGGTAAAAGGCTCAGGCCAAAGTCGATCGTAGGTTCCCAGGGTTATCTGTATTTCGCATACCTTGTTGAAGCCGATGTCCTTGGCCTTCTCACGGAAGCACTGACGGCACAGGTTGAGGTCGTACTTGCGGATGAGACCGGCGGTGTGCTTGCAGACACGGCTATGAAAAGTGAAAATGTCAGCATTTCTGCTTCCTTTCTATGCGCATGTGCGCGCGCGCGCGCGCGCGTGCGTTCCAATATTCCCGATTCCATTTCCTTGCATCCAAAATCTTCGCTGAGAGAGGGGGAATTTTATTCGTACCAAGAGCGGGAGCCCTTGCCGTAGTTGCGGGGGCGGGAGTTCCAGACAGACTCGTGAGACATGATGGCGGTTGTCGAGCGGGTGGGCGGTGTCGTCGAGAGGGTGGTCGGCGAAAACTCGAGATGGTTTGGCTGTGGTTGGATTGAGGACGTCTGGCGGAAATTTTTGTGCGCCTGTATTTTGCTGGGGCTTGGGTCAGGGTGGGTTGGAGCCCCCTTCGCTTCTGGGGGAAGTCCGTGCTTTGCTGATGCACGTGATATAGATAAGATAGACGATAAGCTTTGCTGATAAGATTTTGCCCCCCTGCTTTCAAGTGGGCCCCTCTTACCTAGGAACGCCGCTTGTTGGAGAAGGAACAAGGGACTGAGCTCTTCTGTGACGTTGGGGGACGACCTGCAAAGTGGCTTCTTTCCTAATTCCTTCACCAGCTGATTTCAAAGCATCGGTCTGCACCACCATTATTCCTAACTGCTGATATCTTCTTTAGCAGCTTGCTATTCTTTTTCTTCGTCGAGATACCATATAGCCTTTTTCATTCCTCCTCGTCCGATCCAATCAAGCAACAATGGTCGTCCTCAAGAGCTTCGTGCTCGGCGCTCTGGCAGCTACCGTTGCCGCCAAGTCTGCTGTGCTTGACCTCATTCCCTCCAACTTTGACGATGTCGTCCTCAAGTCTGGCAAGCCCACTCTCGTCGAGTTCTTTGCTCCCTGGTGCGGCCACTGCAAGAACCTTGCTCCCATCTACGAGGAGCTCGCCACCGCCTTCGAGTCCTCCAAGGATGTTCAGATTGCCAAGGTGGACGCCGACGCCGAGAGAGACCTAGGCAAGAGGTTCGGGATTCAGGGATTCCCTACTCTCAAGTGGTTCGACGGCAAGAGCGACCAGCCTACCGACTATAAGGGAGGTCGTGATCTTGAGGCCCTGAGCACCTTCATCACGGAGAAGACCAGTGTCAAGCCCAAGAAGAAGTACACCCCGCCCAGCGCCGTTAACATGCTCACCGACGAGTCCTTCAAGACCACCATTGGCGGCGACAAGGACGTTCTCATTGCCTTCACTGCTCCTTGGTGCGGACGTAAGTCTCAAGTTTATCATTCCCTTTGTTCTAAGCCAACAATGCTGACCTGATCCTCCTCGATAGACTGCAAGACCCTCGCCCCCATCTGGGAGACTGTCGCCCAGGACTTCGTTCTCGACGAGGGCGTCGTGATCGCCAAGGTTGATGCTGAGGCCGAGAACAGCAAGGGAACTGCCGCTGCCCAGGGTGTTTCTTCCTACCCCACCATCAAGTTCTTCCCCAAGGGCTCCAAGGAGGGCGAGCTCTACACCGGCGGCCGCAGCGAGGAGGACTTTGTCAACTTCATCAACGAGAAGGCCGGCACCAACCGCAGCCCCGGTGGCGCTCTTAACGCCATCGCCGGTACCATTGCTTCCCTTGACGAGATCGTCGCCAAGTACACTGGTGGCACCAGCCTGGCCGACGCTGCCGCTGAGGCCAAGAAGCAGGCCGAGACCCTCAAGGAGAAGGCCCAGTACAAGTACGCCGAGTACTACGTCCGCGTCTTTGACAAGCTCAGCAAGAGCGACGGCTATGCCCAGAAGGAGCTTAAGCGCCTCGACGGCATCCTCTCCAAGGGTGGACTCGCCCCTGCCAAGCGTGACGAGATCACCAGCAAGACCAACATTCTCCGCAAGTTCCTGGAGAAGGTCACCGGTGAGAAGGAGGAGTTGTAGTGAACTCTATCAGCGAATTTCAGACGCATCTTGAACTCTGGATTTGGGGAGGTTCTGGGAGGTTGAAAAGCAAGCAACATGCAACTGGGTGTGTTTAGCTCCAGTTGGGATTGGTAGTCTAGGATACCGATGATGATGAATAACAATAACAAGTATAACTCAAGTCTGCCTCGTGGAACCCGAACATCATATGTAGCTCCTGTGAGCTTGTCCCATGAACGATAACGCCATCGGCATGCGAACCACTTGCCCCGTGAAGTATGCCATCAAGACGCTGATTCAAGACGACTTGGACGGGCCGGCGTCCTTCTCCTTGTTAGCTAGAAGAGCCGCCTCAAGGTTGTCAAGGCGGCGAGACATTTCGTCCACTGTGTAGCTTTAGTATGTAGTATAGGAACATGAGCTAAATTTCAGTTTCTCGGGGACTTCCTAGACTTACTCTTTGCAAATATCTCACTTGACACGCCTGCGAACTTATTAGAGATTGTGTTGAGAAGTTCCTCGACGGCTGCATTGACGTCTGTCTTGGGATCCTCAGAGATCTGTGAGGTTCTTCGAGTTAGTTTATGGAAGGCCATACTCATGACTTTGTTTGCCGCCCTGGGTCTACAGCAGGACAGGCGACGTGCCAGAGGCCAAGTGAAAGGTGAAGTAACTGACCGCAGACTGGTTTGCGCTTGAGTCGGGGTTGTTGGAGGCCATTGTTTATCTGCGAGAGAGCCTCTCAATTGTAAGAGGTAGAAACGGAGTGCAGAATTCTCGGCACTGTTGTCTTAGTTGTTTTGTTTGTTTTTGAGATAACGTCGGCGGGTTTGTGAGCCTTGATGTTTGCCTGGCTGGGAGTTATGAGAGATGAAGCGGTCCAGGTTTGGTGGGGTTCAATGTGTTTGCGCTGTTGGTTCCAGCAAACATGTAATGCGGAGGGGCCAAGATGCACACGCGGAGGCCAGCTCTGGAAGGTGTCTGCTACGGCGTGCAGCGCTAGCACCAGGGGATGGGTACCTATCCGCCCTCCAGTGGGGCCTGCCTAAGGCGATAAGACGACTGAAGCATCCCCGGGCTCCGGTATCCGTTGCGCCGTCAAACGGTCCGCTTTCAGCAAGTTGGCTGATGCCGTCATCCGTCTTCAAAGTTACTTTTGGTCTACAGTGTTCAGTTCATCCGTACATCGTCACCCATTCCCGATTGCTACGCTACAGACATTCTTTAATTGTGTCTCCCTTTTTTCAACCAACGAGGCTTCCTGCAACAACCGACACCCGCCGGCCAGAGCAGCAGAGCAATGGCCCCGAGTTGAGCGGCACAAGGCACGCCGCACACCATGCCCAGTCCATACCGAGACCCGCGCCTCGTCTTCCTCGCCCTCGCCTTCGTCGGCGTCTTCTGGATCCTCCTCTCCCCTGGCAATGGCGGCGCGTCTCTCTTCTCCGCCTCGGACCTGGCGATCCAGCGCCTGCGGCGACACCAGCACGCTCTCGACCTCCTAAACACCTCGACGTACGGCGACTTTTCACCGCGCGAGAACGGCACATCCGAGGACCTGCTCCCTAGGTCGTTCAACCTGACGGGTTTCCGTCCCGAAGACGGTTTCGCCTGGGACGATCTCGAACGCTTTCGGGAACGCTGCTTGGAATGGAGCCACAACGCGATACCGCCCGTCGGCGGGGTGAACCTGTGGGACATTGGAGAGGGAGAGCCGGTGTGGCAGAACGCCACGGGCGCGGTCAAGGGGACCTGGATCCGGAGGGAAGCGACGTCGAGGAGAGAGTGGACGAACTACAACCTGAGCGCCATCACGCCGAGCCTGCATTGGAGCGGCACGCAGTCGGAGTGGGCCAGGAATATCACTGGAGACGAGGGCAAGATCTTGATGGACCTCGTCGACACTGGTAAGCACGGGAGGGAGCTGGATTACCGTAGCGACGTTGAGGACGACGAGGGTCCCTCGTCCGGCGGCAAGGTGCGCAGCGCAAAGGCTTCCATTACCATTGAAGATGTCAAGGGAAGCGGCGTCAACTGGGAAATGAGGCTACATGGTGTCCAGTGGCCTCGTCAGGGGACCATCCTGTTGACGACGACCAGCGAGAAGTTTGACGGCATTTTCGGTTTGCCGCATCTAGCACCCAGCTTAGACTTCTTCCAGTCGAGCCAACGGTTGCTCAACCTGACCCTCGCTGAAGTACTCCGTAGGAAGGAGAAGGAGGTGTTCAACGATGGCGTGATGCCGTGGACTTCGGACCTGTCGAACCCACCGGATACGCTGAACCCGACGCCGCACTGCGAGTACATCATGTATGCCCAAGTACATCCACCGGACAGGAACTTTCTAGACATGAAGGGCTTTCACCCAACCAGGGAGGGCATGGCAAGGATCATAAGCGACATTGAGCAAGAATTACGATTCCCGGAAGGCGCACCCATTCGCGGCGTCCCAGAGCTCCAGCTCTCAGCCGTCATTTGGTCCCCAGACTGCGCCTTCTTTCTCGAGACCAAGGGGCCGCCGGATTTCGCCCCCGTTGATGGACAACATCTCCAAGGCATGAAGACGGAGATTATCTACCACAAGATCCGTGTATGGATCCTCCTCTTCGCGATGGTGATCCTCACGCAGGCCCTCCTCCTCAAACAGCAGATGAAGGAATCGGCTACACCTTCGACGATGGGTCGCATTAGCTACTCGACCATCAGTATGATGGTCATGGTAGACGGTGGCATCTTCGCCGCTGCGTCAATGTGGGCTTTGGATGCCAGCATCACGTACCTGGAGTCACTTTCGCTCCTCTTTTCAGCATTCCTGTCCATGTCCCTCGGCGGGTTCTTTTTGGCGGAAATTCACAAAGTGCAGGAGCCTGAGAACAGAAGGCGCGCCGAGAGGGAGCAGCAAAACGCAAACAATAACTCGCCGCGCACGCCGGCAACGCCTGCGCAAGGTCTCGAGGCGGACTCCCTCCCGCGGCCCGTCACCGCGGGGCCTCGCAGGAGGGCACCCTCGCCTCCGATCATCATTCCCTCGGATCAGGATATCGACGCGGAGATCGCAGACGCCGCGAGCGGTGCGGTAGCCGTACCGACAGCGGGCACCGGCGCGGGGGGCGGCCATCGCATCGGGCCCGAGGTCACGTTCCAGTCCGTCATATTCCGCTTCGCCATGACCGTGTCCCTCATCCTCCTCGTCTCCATCGCCTCCACGTCCTGGTACCCGCGCGTGCGCAACTTCTTCGTCAACAGCGTGGCTCTCGTCTACTTTTCCTTCTGGGTGCCGCAGATCCACCGCAACATCATCCGCAACTGCCGCCGCGCGCTGACCTGGCAGTTTGTCATTGGCCAGTCCGTCCTGCGGCTGCTCCCCTTTGCCTACTTTTACGTCTACGAGAACAATTTCCTTTTTGCCGAGACGGACCGGCGCGCGTTCCTCGTTTTTTGCGCGTGGTTGTGGATCCAGCTCTGGGTGCTCGCCTTCCAGTACGTGCTCGGCCCGCGGTTCGGTATACCAAAGAGCTGGACGCCCGACGCGTGGGATTACCACCCGATCCTGCGCGAGGATGGCGTCGAGGCCGGCGGGCTGCCGATCGGGCTGCTCTCGGAGCCGGGATCGCCGTCTCTGGAGAGGGTGAGGTCGGGCGGCGGCGGCGAGGACGTGAGGGATAAGAAGGGCGGCGGTGGTGGGAGTAACCTACGCGCTATCGACTGCGCTATTTGCCGTGAGGTGCTCGAGGTGCCCGTCATGCGGGCGGGCGAGGAGGATCCGACGGCCGGAGGGGTCGTCGGCGTGTTTACGAGGAGGAATTACATGGTGACGCCGTGCCGGCACATCTTCCACAGCGCGTGCCTGGAGGGTTGGATGCGTTTTAGATTACAATGTCCTATATGTCGAGAGGAGCTGCCTCCCTTGTAGGAGTAGCGAAAGGAGCGGTTGCATGTCCGCTTTGGTTGTAGGCTTGGAGCGCGTGCCATAGCGGGAAGATTTGATCGCGTGCTTTGTTAGAAAATGATACCAAAATGAGAGTGGATTTAGTATACAGCATCACGTTGCATTCCGTTTGCCCTTGCGGTCTATGGAGTCGTTTAAGATCTGTCGAGTGAATGGTGCCGTGACTGTTTACTTATGCCCTATATGACTTGGAAATCGACCATCGATGTGGACGGTATTGGCTCTCCAAACACAAGCCGGCCCTTACTTAAGGAATGAAGACTTCCGAGACTAGAGGTTCGAGGTCTCTACAGGGATACCAAAGAGAATTTCACACATCGCTCGCCATGGTGTGTTTGTTTCCTACCCGAGGGACAGCCCCCGGAACCACGCTTGAAGTGAAATACAAGTTACTTCGTGATACGGGACATTTCCTGGTAGGCAGAAAGGACTATAGCACAAAGAGAGAAGAAAGTTTCCTGAAAAGGGGGGAAATCGGTGTTCTGTATCCTCATCGAGAAAAAAACGCCTGGCCCCCTCTCCAGTGCTCTGGAATATCGTGGGGCTTGCGTCAAGTAGAGGAAAAAAGCCTGCTATACTCCATATATGTCTTTCGGCCAGGGTGTAATTCGTTCTTCTTCTTCTATTTTTGATAAAATGCCCCAATATTACGGGGTCATAAAAGAACGAATGCATCAACGTAGATGATGTATTCATGGGACCGTAAGAAGGACGAACTCGTATGACTATGGAAGGTCACCAGCCATTGAGGGCGAGTTATCACCTGTATGATGACGAGGAGGGGGGAGGGGAGCTCATCATGAACCTCGAGTCTGTGTTTATTCGCTACACAGGGTGTGGGCAGGTGAGTAGAAATGTGAATTTTGTGATGACGTGGATAGGCTTTCGATATCAAATGTTTGGTCTTCAGCGGTGATAGAGGTCTTCTTTTGTAGAGAATGTCAGATACTACATCTTGGTGTAAGTCGATAGGCAAAAACATCTGGTTCAGGTCAATATTGTTACGTGATTACCCAAGGTTTCGCTTATTCCTTCTACCCACTGGCTTCGTCATCGTATATACTACGACGAAGTGGCTGGCCATACAATTACCAAAACCAAACGAGCACATGAAAGCAATTCCAACATGACGTGGGAGACGGGAAGAGAAGTCTGGGGGACGAGGCTGCGGCTAGCATCTTGCCATCGCACGTAGCCTAGCATAAAAGAACATGCTGCACCGTATACACCACGCGGAAAGAAGTACGACCGATGGAAACAAGCCCGCAAGCCGCCAAAAGTGTTTTCCTCAAAACACAATTCGCAGTCTTCTACCACTGGAAAAAGCATAGAAGCGGCAAAGACTACAAGATCTTCCGGGGACCCGTAGAGATTGAGGGGAAACACCCGCCGCGCTTCCGCTCCGCGCCGCCGCCATCGCATGGTGTTTGTCCCATTGATCAAGGGTTCTTACCTACATTGGACCAGTCGAATGGCCAAACCGGTCCCTCCAGTTCAAATTTGAAAGATGCCGACCAGCTAGTGTCTCAACCAGTGGGCCAATGATCATAGGTAGATGGCCCATCTCTTAGTCGCCGCTTTCCATTTCCCTGGGGCGCACTTTGCATTGTTTGAAAAGGGGCAACTAACCCAAGGCACAGAATGGCTGCAGCCAAGCTCGCTGGCGTGCCATTCAGGGGTGTGTCAGGTCGGCGGAACGACTCGAGTGCATCCACACCATCTCCGTGGTGTTGTGGACTAGAAGGTATCAACTGCTGGATCTAGCTTGGGCCTGCCTCGATTCGAGTATCCCCAAAAGCCACCTTGGATGATAAACTTAGCATTGTGATATCGATAGTGGCGGTTCAGTTGCCCATATTGTGATGAAAGCAAGGTACGACTGCTAGCGATGCTCGTAAGAAGAGTCGGGTGGGTGTCTCCCGAGAAGTAGGAAGAAGGCAACGAGATGATCACCCCTGCCCCGGCTCTGCGGTCATGCGGCACAGCAACGTCCCTAACCCATCTGTCATACCTTATCCTCCTGCCTACCAAGATGTCAGCATCATTTCCGTTACGAAAAGAAAATAATGGTTTCGATCGTGTCAGTGAACCTGATCGTCGGTAGCCCACCAAATCGGACCAGGGGCTCGTTCTGGATGTTAATTTTACAGGTGATGCGGACCTCTTGTACGTGCAAAAAGCAAAGGAAATCTCGTTTAGCAATCAATGAATGAGCGCCACAAGTGTGAGAGCGTTTATATCCATCGGTCCTGGGACAGTAAGAAAGATTTGTCTTTCATGTTGTGTCGTGTGAAGGAAGCGGTACAAGGGCGGCCGGATGCCAGCGGCCGAGAGCGCCGGTGTGACGAACGTGGTCATCACGGGCCCTTAGGAGGCGACACCAGTGACACCGTAACCGGTGTGGAGATCAGAACGTTTAGCTCCCGTACCCGGAAGCCTGGGACGTATCTCAGGCGAGTCCGAGAAGAATGACGCAGCGGAAACGGCGTGCCGAGGCCTGGAGCCATCCGGGACAGGGTGGGTTCCATGAGCGACTGATCCTCAACTAGTCTTCCCAGGGATCTTTGATTTGTTCTCAGGGCAGCCCCGTAAGGCGGAGGGAGGCAAGGAGTAGGCGATACTGGCAAAGCCGAAGTTCGGGTAACCTAAGGTCTCTGACTGTCTGCTTGTGATGTACAGATACGGGTGCCCGAATTTGGACAGCTTCGGCCAGTGTGTATAGGCGATCGACCGCGTGGGGTACTCCACGATGGACACGCCTATCAGTCAGACTGTTTCGGACTACCCAGATACTTGGGTATCGTGCCGTCGTATGAAATCATAGCCAACGCACCGAGGCTCAGGAAAAGGCCCGAGGGAGGTTTGCACGGCCAGCTCAGTGGTCAGTAGAACCAAGCTTGCAAGCACCAGCGTGGCAGACCCTGGTGGCTGTAAGCACAGCCTGCCATCGAGTGGAACTTTTGGGGCCATGATGGAATCCGTACCAGCGAAGTTCTCGCTTCCATTCTGACATGCAGCTTAGCTGCATTGGCCTGTCCGATAGGATTGGCCCAACGGGTGCCCGAAATTTGCAGTGAAGGCAGGTCGGACAAGGCATCTCGCGAGGCATTATGCCATGGTGCTTGAACCACCCTCTGGCATCGGAGCTCGCGATGGTAGATTAGTACCTGACAGACCGAATGTGCCATCAAAGTAGCCGCGGGTCGTTGTGCATAAAACCACGATGCACGTGTAAGGGAATGGGGGTCCCATACCGAGACGTCCCCTACCCCGCGGTCATGGGAATCGCCAGCGGACATGTCCGAGAGACATTGATGCTTGGTGACGGGCAGAAATGGTGCCCCCAAAGGCTGCCGCGGAAAACGCTTCCCAATCGATCTGGCTGAAATCATCATAGGGAGATTCTGCAATGTTCCTGCGTCGAGCTGGCTATCGTAAATTCCACTTGCAAAGTACCGTCATATCAGCCGCTCTCTTGGGTCCTTGGCATACGACGCCTTTCATTCGTAGTCGATTTGAAATAACACAAAGACATCCAAATCACTACCGAGGCCCGCTGGCTGGCTGCCCTTCGCAGCCATGGGAGAGTCTCACTCCCGAACACCACCGGTTCGCAGAGGTCTCAGTTCCCAATGTCGAGGGCTTTGGGTCGAACCATATCTCCGGAACCGGTTGCTAGTCCGTGGGATTCGGGTCCGTGGTCGCAGTTGACACATCGGCATCCCGCCCCATGCCACAGCAAAGGGCGAAATCTTCCGGAGAGGCGCCGCCAGGCGACGAGGAAGCCGGAACACCAATCGGTTGTTCCTCAAGGGGGAAGAGAGATGATCAGACGGACCCTCACGTCTCAGACTCTAGACACCTGAATGTGTTGAGTGGCTGATGTTCGTCGAAGTCGGTGACTACCCTGCAGAAGCGAGAACCTAGAAACGGGCGTGGAGTAGGCCACGGCTTCTAGTCAGCCCGTGATCGCATTTACACGGTAAGCGATCATGGTTGGTAGGGCTGAAGAAGACGCAGAGAAGGTGCGTAGATGCAGCGAACGTCATTGTGGGAAGACATTGGTGCCGTCAATCGTGGGTCGGTGTGGCTTCCTTCTGCAGTCTCTCAAGAAGCAGAGGGTGGCTTTTTGAAGGACGATGGCTGAGCAGCGGCGCTAAGGCAGGCGATATGTAGGCAGTCTTGAGGCAGATTCTCAAGATGCAGTGGGATACATGGGGGCTCCTGGCTCGAGAGGAGGCCGCCCTGATCAAGCCCTTGGGCCAGTAAGTCCAGAGAAGGCCATTGGAGGCTTTCCTAGTCACCCAGGGCCATGCTTCGAGGTCTATGGCGCATAGGGCTGAGATGGAGGGTCGAGGAGTGGGTGAGAGTTTGTCTCGCCTTTGGAAATGGGATGGCCCCCATGGTCCCCATGGTCCCTTGTTTTCCCCCCTCCTTTGCTGCTGACAACGACCTGTAGACGAATGCATCCAAGCCCCTCAGACAGCGGAAGCGGGCCGGTAGGATGGACATTGCATGTGGCGCAGCTGACATGGCCGAAGCGGTGAATCAAGCCGAGACATGGGCTTTTGTTTGCCAGACAAGATGCAAGCCGTGTCTGTCCAGAAACTCGGCGAGAAATGAATGGATTGGGCAAAGTGTGAGGTGGGGGAAGTTGTCAGGTTTCTAGTGGAATTGTGTGTGTTTCCATCCGTGGGAACAGCGCCGGGAAAGGCAACAAAACGTTTCGATACCTTGGTCTGAACATCTGGTCAGTGCTGAGGTACAACCATGGGTACTCCTGTATGTACCTCACTCGAGGTATTGAAGTACAGACACCACAAATTACAGATCACCAGTGACCAAAGGGCAATGGCTTACATGCTTGCCTACCTTACAGGCTACAGCCCTTCCCGCGAGACAAGACCGTCTGCTCCTGCCATGCTCGCCTGGCAGTGACACAACGCCGTCGAGACGGGCCGCGTGCGTCTGGTCATCATGCCGTCTCATGCTTCTCCGGTCTTGTTTCCTGCAAGTTGAACTGACAAATGCTCGGGCTACTGCTTCTGCTCCTGCTCGACTGGTGCTGCTGCCCGTTGGCGATACGAGGAACGGTGACAGAACCATGCAGCTGCAGCGCGCTCTTGCATGCCAAGAGAGACTACCTCCTGCTCCCGTGATTGTCTTGTCTCTCTCTCTCTCTCTCTCATCCTCGGAGTTCACCTCCGGGGAAAAGCAGGCAGAAGTGATTTCTATTCCGGTCCGTATCAATCCGGGGTGTTACAAATGTGATAAACTTGTAGAACCTCACCTCAAGAGTGCTGGACCGTCGACGATGCCAATGCTTCCAGATCCTCCACGAGAAGAGCAAAAACGTTCACCCGGGCATCGCAATTGCATCGGGTCATGGCGAGCCCAGCTACAACATACCTCATTGGGATAAATGCCCGCCTCATATGCCCTGCTCATGCCTTGCTCGCGCATCTACGAGGTACTGGTGATGTTGCATCGCCGTCTTGACCTTCAGTTTTGAGAAGCTCAAAGTCAGATAACCCCACAGGCGCTCGTCTTGGCTCTTCTGCGTATACGATGATGGAATCTGTAGAATCAATGCCATGATTGCATTCACTTTGAAGTATAAGTAGTAGATGAAATATTGAAGAACATGCAGATATCGATGTAATTGCCAGTATCGCTCGACAGTGAACAATGCCCGTCATCAGCGCAACCGCAGTCCTCCTAACTCTAGGCCTCTGGGCCCTAGCCGCTCCCGCACCGGTTCCCGCCCCGGCCTTCGTCGCCGCGGACGGCATTATCCCGGGCGAGTACATTATCTCCCTGAAACCGGGCCTCGCCCGCTCCCAAATCGAGTCCCACCTCTCCCGCGCCGCCTCCGTGCACACCCGCCGCCGGCGCGACACCACTCCCACAGGCGGCATCAGCAAGACCTTTTCCATCGGCGCCTTCAACGCCTACGCGGGCTCCTTTGACGAGGCCACGCTCGCCGAGATCCTTAGCGGCGACGTCGAGGGCGCCGTGGCTTCTGTCGAGCCGAATCGCCTCGTGGAGATTGACGCCCTCGTCACGCAGGATGCCGCGCCGTGGGGTTTGGCAAGTTTATCGTCACTGCATCAACTGTCGAGCTCGTCTGATGGTCAACCTTATACCTACGATGACTATGCGGGCGAGGGCTCGTTTGCGTATATCGTCGACACGGGCGTGCAGGTGTACCACCCTGACTTCGCGGGCCACGCCGTGAAGGGATACAGTTCGCAGCCTGACGAAGAGTTTGATGACTTTGGCGGGCACGGCACGCACGTTGCTGGGACGGTTGGGTCCCAGACGTACGGGGTCGCGAAGAAGGCGACGGTTGTGGATGTTAAAGTCCTTGCTGGTTTTGTAAGTCGCCTCTGTCTCTTTCTTCGGTTGCTACCACCGAGGATGTCGCTCGTACAGTGTGACTGGTGATCAAATCTACCTGTCAAGTCTAACAAGTCTAACTTTCGGGGACAGGGCACCGGCAGCGTCGCAACGGTCCTCGATGGCTACAACTGGGCCGTCAACAACATCACAGACACCCCCGGTCGCCTCGCCAAGTCCGTCATCAGCATGAGTCTCGGTAAGAACCCCCGAAATTCAACCGCAAGCCAATATTGCGCCCGCCGGCCATAGATGGGTACTCCCCCCCCCCTTGGAGTTTCGACTAACACGCAACCTTCCCTCGGTTTCCTGCTGCAGGGTTCCCAGTAAGCACAACAGCCTCCGCCCTCGACGAGGCGGTCAACGCAGCCTACGACCTGGGTGTCCCGACCGTCGTGTCGGCCGGAAACCTGAACCAGGACGCCAGCCGGCGCTCGCCCGCGCGGGCGGCGCGCGCCTTCACGGTGGCGGCCGCGGACTGGAACCGGACCCGGGCGTCCTTTTCCAACTTTGGCAGCCTGGTCGAGGTGTTTGCGCCGGGCGTTGAGGTGCGCTCGCTCGGACTCGACAACGGCACGACGGTGTACTCGGGTACCTCGCAGGCTGTCCCGCACGTAACGGGTCTGATTGCGTACCTGAGGGGCAAAGAGGAGGATTTGTCTACTCCGGATGAGGTGTTTGCGAGGGTGAGGGAGCTTTCTGTCGAAGGTGTGGTTCGGGATCCTCAGGGTACTGCCAATCTGCTTGCTTTCAACGGTGCTGTTTCCTCCTAAGGGTCCGGGGCGTGTAAGTGCGTGTTGTGGACTCGCAGGGCCAAAGAGGAAAGGGGCGCAGGCGTGGAGGTATTTTGCCAATGTTGGGTCGCCGGACCTGATACAGACACATGCATTACTTACATGTGAGATACATGGAAGCAGCAGCAATCATCCATCCTGGGTGAAGAGTCTCTGAGACTGTGTCACTTGGCTCTCACAGTCGGGTCCCCCGGTCTTGCGTCTGTTTCGGAGCAATTCTCAACTTGGAACTTGTATTTGTTTGCTTGAATTGGCGGTACATGGGGGGTTCGTACTCCCTCAACCTTCGAGCACTTTGTAGAAAGTCTTTGGCATATCTTTCCAGTGGTTCTGGATGCCTGGGCCTGGTTGAGACGCAATGTCATTGGTATCACTCTGTCCGGATACACTCCTCAGCCAGCAGATTGCTTCCATAACACAGGGTATTTTAAGAGCCCGCTTGGTAAGCTCGCCGGTCCGGCCTCGGTGTAGTCGCAGATGCCGAAACGGCAACCCTCAGGGCCCAGTAACCCTTTGCCTAGCGGAGCCGCCGTTTCTATTGGCAGCGGCGGGCGCCGACAACACACCAACCGCTTTCGATGCTGGGCCGGGGAAGGGGAAAAGCATGGTGACTGCATCGAGACGTGGGCGGGCCGGCTAGTGTAGTCTCTAGACTGTAGTACTCCGTAGGCTGTAGAGCAATGGAACAAGAACTGCGGTCTTTCGAGCTACGCCAAGGTAAGGTAGCCGTAATGGTCTGGGAGAAAGGGGTGCCTTGTCCAACAAATCCACAGGTGAGCACGTGTTGTCGCGGGGAACCCACCGTCATCCATGTCCTCTCCCTGCTCCACTCGCCGTTCTCTCTTTTCAATCTTGTGTTTATGGATTCTGGAGGGTGACTGGCCCAGTAGGTGGGAGCAAATCTGCGAATTGGCGATGATGACCTGCCTGTTCGCCTGCAGGGCTTAGCCGCCCACCACCAGGGGGGCCAACAGAACCGAAACAAACAGCACAGCCACAAAGAAACGACAACTTTGTATCCGTAATGCAGGTGAACTAACAAGTCGTTGGTGTCATCATCCAAGGGGTATGGAAGCATGGTGGAAGGCTTCGCCGAGACTAAAGCTGGCGGGGGGGGGGGGGGGGGGGGGGGGTGGGAAAAAAACCCCGGGGGTTTGGGGGGGGGGGGGGGGGGGGGGGGGGGGGGAAAAGGGGGGAAGGGAAGAGGGGGGGGGGGGGCGAGGGGGGGGGGGGGGGGGGGGGGGGGGGGATATGGTAGTGATGATAAATCCCGTCGGTGTTTGGAGAGGGTGAGAGGTTGGGATGAGATGGCAACATGGGAATAAGGAACGAAATGAAGGACGTGGAGGTTACGTCCAACATCCGAGAGAGGTCGGAAGAGGGAAGGAGTGGGGATGAGAAGACGGAGATCTGGAGAGAAGGAGGTTACTGCGTACCTACGCAGTACTTGCTCTTGTGCGATGAACAGACGTCGACAGGTGTATCCGTACCCAAGCATATTGAGGATACAACCAACATTGTTCACTTTGACTATTTCCTCGCTTCTCCTTGCCCTATGAGCGAGTATCTCTTATGAACATCTGCCGACTACTCACCCATTTCTATCCATTTATCAGATTACCATCGTTGCTTATCCATCTCCGCTCCCACTTTTCGTTTCGCTTCGTTGAAAGGGCTCAAAATCGAGACTCTGGCGCTCATTGCAGGGTACCTCGAACGTTTCTTCAGACCATCGCACACAAAGGCAGGGTACAAGGACGAGAGCGGAAAGACCCAATTACCAATTGGGGCAAGTTCCTCGACGAGCCGGGGACTAACATGGACGGGCCAGGTACTCGACCCCTGTCTTGCATGTACTTCGCCGACGCCAACAGGTACCGCGGTACGTATTCGGATACACAAAAGTTGTTCTTTTTCTTCCCATCTCTTTGATCTGAAGGAGAGCGAAGGAGATCGCACAACGGGCCAAAAGGGTGGACAGAGGAAGGCAAGGTCTCTCGTGTTGCACCGAGAACGTAGGCATTCCTAATTTCATACCGTGTACGGAGTACGACAGGCAAGAAGAGCCATGCTTGTGAGACGTTGAGTTCTTTTCCTTGTGCGCATTTCCTGTCCAGTAAAACAGAATTCCTGCACTGTCAGTCAGATTACCTTTCCTACCTGTCACTCAAGTACCCAGGAGTAAATGCCCTGCCCTCTCTTCTGCTCTTCTGCTCATCTACTTCATTTTCGCCTTCAGAACGAAGTACGGATAGCAGATATTCAGAAACGTCTGATTCATCACGGCGAGCCTCACTGACTCTGGTTTGGGAGAACGCGCGATACAAGTCTAAGGTAGCGTACACAGGCAACAGGTGCGGCGACCCAGACCAGACGCCTTGTCTCGCCTGCCCTGGAGGGGTTCAATGTTTCTTGTATAATGAATGTTTGCTTCGTGCTGGTATTCGTACTCCCTCCCCCTTGTCTCTTTCTCTCCAAGTCTCTCTGGCTCGCACACCTTACTTACTTGACCGAGTACTTTGTCCAATACTACATACGGATACACACAATTGACAATTGAGATGGAAAGCAGTAACGATTTCAATGCCGTGGATGGCTCAAGCCTCTCTTCGTCGTCGTCGTCTTCTTCTTCTTCTTCTTTTTCTCCTCCTCCTTCTTCTACTACTGCTACTACTTCTTCTTCCTCTTCCTCCTCCACCCTCTCTCTCAACCCTCACCTCTCTCCTCCACCACCCCACCATCTGCGGATACCTTTTCTTTTCTCTTCCGCAGCTTGAGCTAGGGGACTAGCCAACTCCGATCCCCCACTCCCAGCCCCGTTAGCCCAACCTCATTCGTTCATCTCTCGCCTTCCTCTTCCCCCCCAGTAAAGAGCCCCCCAAAGCCCAGAGCCCAGAGCCCAGACTTCTCCTCATCCTCCCTTCTTCTGCTTCTGCTCTTGGCCAAGTCTGGCTTTTGGTCGCTTCCATTTGCTTTGGTCTCAACTGATTGTTCTTCGGCACCTGGGTCTTCCTGATCTCTCTGCTGCATCTGCTGCACAATTGCTTTCTTCTCATCCCAGCCCACTCGCCTAGGCCTGGTCTGGACCTGATCCTCGCTCTCCTCCAACCGAGTGTTCACTGGGCATTTCTCTGACCATCTTGCCGACCTTCGATATTCATCCCTGCTTCTTTTGGTTCTGTCCGTCATCAGACTCGAAGCCTGACATCTACATCGACATCACTAGCCTACCTACACCATCATCTTCTTCTCCAATATCGCAAGTATCGCCAGATTCTCACCTACTT